ATAAAAAATAAATTAAATAATTATATAAATAATTATATAAATAATAAAAGAGTTAAGATACAAGAACAATACTGAAACTCCGAGAAGACTTCCGGAACCTCGAGAAGAGCTCTCACTCTACTCTACTCTACTCTAACTCCCAATACTAACTCTACTTCTACACAAATGAGTATTGGATCTCTTGGATCAGTGAGGTGCGAATTGTTTCTACCGACACCACGGCTATTTATAGCTTCCTTAGGACAGGGGGGCTTATGTAGGCGAAGGAGACGTGGCGGGGCCGCCAAGGCAGGCCGGCCAGCCTACCAGGGGGGCCGACCGACCGGCTACTGTGGCGGTTTGCCACCGCCTCTTGCGTGGACGCTCCAGATTGCCTTCTGGTGTCGGTTCGAAGGTCGGTTACTTCGTGGGGGCGGCAGAACTGGAATAAGGGCCAAGTTGAGGCTCAAACAGCCCACCAGACGGTATGTCGGTGGAATTCTGCTGCACAGGCTTTGAATTGTGACGTTTTAGTCCATTTACAGCCTGCTGGACGAAGACCGAGGCCTTTGGGCGCCAATGGGGGCCAGCCGGCCTGCATTTTCCTCGGTGCAGGCCCACTTTATTGCATAATTCACTCTTGCATCCAAAAATCACCAAAACTCATGGAAGTAGATTAATTCCTAACTACTATGCACAGAACCTTGGTGATTAGCCTTTTATTTACCGATATGTTGACGGTAATTTCATGATTTTTACACCGTCAACGGGAGCCCGGAAGGTGGTAGAGAATTCTACTACATATGACGGAAAAACTAAGGATTTTATATGATAATATTGATGAAGCAATCTGCAGCTGGGCATGCCAAGCGCTGATCAAGGTGCGACGGTCAGTGTCGGTGTACCGTCTGCTCGCCATCTGCAACTGCGGCACCTTCACGACGGGGTGATGCTTCTCATCCGACGCCGGCAGCTGGGGATGCGACGTGCGAGTGGTTGGCCGTAGCTGCGGATGCATCATGTCCTCGCCTCACATTCAAAGCAATCGTCAAAGACATATTGGAATATTGGTCGCTCAGACAGGAGGATGCATGATGGCTCTGTCGGGCTTCCGTTACCTAGCAAATCAGATTGCCTTCTAAAATGTTGTTAATTGGTTTGATTAGATGGACCCATGTAAAAAAATTACTGGCTCTACATGCAGTGGCGGACCCAGCGAAAAAATTTAGGGAGCAGGGAGCCCTGCATGAGAGCCAAACTCGATCGACCGAACAATTCTTCCCAACCAAAATACATATAAATGGTGCAAATTTAAAAATGGCACTTGCGTAGTTGGGATCATCAAAATTTACTTGTTTTGGTATCTTTGGCTTAAGTGATATTATTGTTAACCCCACGAACGCATGCATGATTCATGCGACCCCCAAAAGGGAAAGCATGATTCATGCCAGGTGTTTAATATATATGCTATGTATATATGTGATCTAGCTCATCTTAATTGTATTCTCTCTTGGTGTTTACCTATATTTCATCAGGAAGATGCTTCACGTACAGTAGTATATTATTACATGCACCTAAAAGTATTAGTTTAACGGCTAACGATTCATTAATAGATGATGGAGTTAAGGTTTTTTTTTTTTAGAGAGACTGATGGAGTTAAGTGGTTAGTGCGTTCCAGGTCTTGGACTAGATTATTTTTTTTAAACTGGGTTTTATAGTCTTAGCATATATTAAGTGGTTCGGTCTAGAGATGTCATGCAGCTGCTCAAACCTGTCTAGATCCCTCTTGACTGCTATAAAATGGTGCGCTAGCATTTTAACTTCCCACAGAAACCTCATCTGCTCTCAAGATCCCCCATAGTTCCTCCCATTCATCTTCAGGCAAAATGCTCCAAACAACCGCATACCATGCACCGCTCTTAGAGTACTCCAACGAGCTGCTCCGCCAGCCAGCTAACTCCGCTATTGCCTTGTTGCCGCCCGTGGTTGACATGTCTAGCAACCGCGATGAGGTTTGTCGTGCCATACTAGATGGCGGCAAGGAGTTTGGCTTCATCCAAGTTAGTCTAACTTCCAAATCAACACATTAAATTGATATAATATTTCTATTATATTTGCATCACGAGAATCAAAAAACTGCAGGTGGTCAACCATGGAGTCCCTGAGCAAGCAATACGGGATATGGAGTTGGTGTCCCAGGAGTTTTTCCAGTTGTCAGCAGCAGATAAAGCACATTTGTATTCGGAGGATACAAACAAGCCTACCCGGTTCTTCTCTGGCACCACCTTTGAGACCGGCGGCGACAAGTACTCAATGAACACTCTGCGCCTTGCCTACTCCTTCCCCAATGGTGACAGCTCGAAAGAATGGCCCAGCAGTCCCCCAAAACTCCGGTAATAATCACACGTATATACATTTTTAAAAGTTTCCTCTAGAACCAAGGAATTTCAAAAACATAAACTTGCAAGAATTTACAAGGATAATTTCTACTACTTAATAAGTCTAAAGAGGGTCATCAGCCTTGAATTTTCAGACCTCTGCCATTTGAATTTGTGTCAAATTCAAATTCAAAACGAATTCAACAAAAAAAATCAGACTCGGTTTCGTCTTATACAAGTCGAATCGCTTTTGTTCAAAAATAACTGTGTGATGTATGTAGGCGTTGGGTCTTCATCCTGAAGGCACAGGTTCGAATCCCTGGAGCGCATATAGTGTTTGATTTTTTTTTCTTTTTGCCTGAAATTTGTAAAATTTATAGAAAAATAAATAAATCTCAGAAAAATATGAACCAAATTTTGTTAGAATCAATGTGAATAGATCTACCAAAAGGTACAATCAAACCCTTATGATTTTGAGTAGATAGTTTTACAAATTTTCTGATAATTAAAACAAAGATAAATGCATATATGCATTTCTATGCATGGAAAAACCTTGAAATATGGCATGCACACATATCTGGTCATTTATTATTTGCAAGTTATTTTTGATGTATTTATTTCTAGAAACGCATCACATCAAAGAAGATAATTTGTGCTGCAAAAGTCCTAAAAATAGACATTGTCAGGTGATTTTGTGCTACCTAAATGAATCGCTTTCCTATTAATAAAGTTAAAACAATGAAAATTTCAACACCCGTTGCAACGCACGGGCAAAATGCTAGTCTAATTGAAGCCTAAAATCATGTTCAGTAACTATTAGATGAGGCCAGAAAAGAGATCCTAATTTATTTGATCTTATCCGTGTCTTTGTGCTGGAACAAGAGAGGTTGCTATGAAGTATATGGAACTCACAAGAGGTTTGGGGATGGAGCTGCTACGACTTTTGTGTGAGGGCCTGGGTCTCCGGTCTGACTACTTTGAAGGGGACATAAGTAGAGGTGATACGGCACTCTCCCTCTTTCAGTATCCGCCATCCTCAGATCCAAGCATGACTCTAGGCCTGCCACCACATTGTGATCGGAACCTCATCACCATCCTCCTCCCCAGTGCGGTCAAGGGCCTACAGATTCTCTACAATGGGGACTGGATCGATGCCCAATCTGTGCCCAATGCTTTCATAGTCAACTTCGGTCTACAACTTGAGGTAAGTAACCATTTCAACCTGTGTTGATTGTTGGTTCAAGTAGGCTCGACACAACTCATGAACTCTGGATGGTCTATTTTGATTGTTTATGATTCGTATGCAGGTTGTGACCAATGGGATACTAAAGAGCATAGAGCACCGTGTGGTGACCAACTCAGTGTCGCGGTTGTCTATAGGGACGTTCATACATCCGACTGAAAATTGTCTCATTGGCCCTGCAGACGAGTTCCTTACAGAGGATAACCTCCCATTATATCGCGCCATGACATTTGGTGACTTCAAACGCATATATAATGTTATAAAACTGGACTCATCACTCAATCTCACTACAAATCTTCGGGACATTCAGGAGAATATATGAAGCAAAATCAGAATAATATATGAAGCAAAATCTAAAGTCCTTTAATATGTGATGGTTTCCCACTCTCAGCTGTCAAGTGTATTAATTGTGTGTGCCGTGGGGTTGTGAAATTGTGATCGTTGTGAATTTCCATAAATGTAAACGTTGTCTACTTCCAATATTTTGAATAAATTGTAATTGTTGTCTACTTTCATAAATTTATTCTATTTGGAATACAAGTATTTCTTACTTGGAGTTGTGGAATGTTTAAATTTCTAAAAATTTGAATGTTTCATGTCCAAACGACTTGTATATGTGATGGGGCAGTTATCATATGGGTTGCCAGGGACCTTTTCTATATGTGATATTGGCCTTTTATTTCATATTATTGTTAATCTGTTTATTATGATATTTCATCTTGAACCTAATAGTTGGAAGGAAGCAGTACAATCACTAAAAGCTGTCAAAAAACTCAAGATGGCATTAGATTTAATTTTTTGTTATAATCTACTAGCATAAAGGAATCCTGACGTGTAGTGTGATTTGGAAAGCAGTTAAAAAAACAAAAATACACTTTGCGGACTAGTTAACATAAAAGAAGTATTGGTCAAAAGGCACTGAGAACTCGTCAAAAGTCTGACTAATTTGTTATTGAGACAAAAAAACAAAGCGCAGGAAATACTGTCGTAGCATGCTTGCAGAGGATTGCAAGCATTTACGTAGAGTCAATATTGAGGTACAGAATAATGCTAACTGGAAAACTAAATAGTTTGAGCTAAAAAAAAATTGAGCAGAATCAAAATGTTGAAATCCTCTTCTTTTTTCAATGGGTCGTGCGAATACGTCTTGTGCCTGGCTATTCATGGGAATGCCTATCCGTCCAACTCCAAACCTTTTTTATTACACAGTACAACTCAGACACTCACAATACACGTACACTCACCTATAAACGCACATACGCAAACCCTACTCCTATGAGCATCTTCGAAGACTAAGCCGGCAAATCCTCCAGATTGACAAAGTCACCACTGACGCCTCGCTGTCGACGGCCACGTCGCCTACCGCTGAAAGCACAAATGCCGTTAAATTTTAGAAAATCTGCTCCCACCGAGAGTCGAACTCAGGATCTCAAAAATGCTACTCGAATGCCTTAACCACTTGACCAAGACGCTTTCACTCCAGTCCAACTCCATTAGTAGACCCAGTACGACTGCCTATTGCTGCGGTAAATTGCTCCTTGTTTGGCCCCACGTGGCTGCATTGCAACCGTTGCAATCTCTGTTTTGATTGGTCGAATGGCATGGGTCGGACGATGGTCAGCTGTGTGAGTCGGACGCATAAGACTACTCTATATTCATATCAATATTTACTACACGGAGAAGCATAATGGTGATACAAGGCACCTACATCCGTCTGCGCGCATCCGTTAGAGCAAGCATGCACATCAGTCTAAAGTTTGCACATCCGTTAGAGCGGTAACATTGTGACAGCATGGTTACATGGCTAGCGCCATTAGCATCAGTACTAAAGTTTACATCTGATGCTAACTTTATTTTAGTAACAAATTAATTATTTTAGGTTGCCTTAGCACCTATAAATTTAGTGCTAATAGCAGTAGATAACTATTCTTAGAGAATAATCCATTTTTAAGGGGCAATGGGTGCTAATAGCAGTAGATAATTATTCTTAGAGAATAATCCATTTTTAAGGGGCAATGGATGCAGATGATCTTAGGGTATAAAGTTTTTTCAAAACCATGACAGCAACTGTGCTTTGGAAAATTTTCAGCGCATTCTATTTGTTATCTGTTATGTTGTTCATAGATACACAGCACTTCTGACAAAAACGACATCTCAATTCAAACAAGCTACTCTTATTGAACTTTACTAGTTTCATAAAGCTCAAACTTTTACAATCCGTAATAATGGATAAACTATTTTCTACTTCCAATTCATGCTAACCATTTCTCAAACACATTATTCCAATACATGAATATTCTGAATTAAAACTATCTCCCTATATTAATCTTCTATTACAATTTTGGCTGGCCTAGAACAGCCCCAGTCAATACAAGTACCATCGGAATACACAATCAAAAGTTTCATGATCAGTGCAATCGAAATCTAATATGGGTCAGATGGGTGTGTGAATTCCCTTCTCAAGGAATAAACCTGAACACAAAAAGAGGACTCTGGAAGTCCACAAACTTGTACGATCCATCAAGTGAGTTCAAATATATTTCTTCTCGAGGCTCCTCACTTACTCCACTCTGCATGGCGTACTCCAGGGCCATTTCATAGTCAACCTAGGGGTTTGAGATTTGAAGAGGTTATTATTAAGCACATAACAAAAGAAATCCATGACCCCAAGTTCCTATGAGAAAAGAAAATGAAACCAGCAATCATAAAGTTAAAACTGTATTCACCACCACCACAAAACAAAAGTCTTTTATGTCCCCCAAAATCTGGCATGATAGCATTCCACAATACCAGCAAACTGAATCTAAACGATATGACTTTCTCATGTGGCAGCATTGTGTATACAACGCAAGAGGAAAATTTTGGCAGGGATTTTTCTTTGTTTATTGTTTGTAGAAAATTCTTACCTGCTCAACATGCTGCGCTAAGCAATCCCTAAAAGTCATTTCTGTCACCTCCTGAGAATTAACCTTCTCAAGAAGTTCCTCGTCTTCCTTGTCGTAGCGCGGTCTTTTGGGGGGAGATTCATCTGCAATTTCTACCAGTGTCTCCATAAATGCTCTTGCAACATCAGGAATGTATCTGTGAATAAGAAAAATAACAACGGTTTATATAATTTTGGATGATCTGGTGTCAGTGTGAAAAGCATGTAAAACATTTTTGAACCTAAATTAGTTAGTGTTTCATTAAGGACCCAATATAGCCTTTGCTATTGTTGTGGCATGGGCCGTGGGCCAGTTCAAGGCATGGAAAGGAAGCACGGGAGGACAAGGATTAGTATTAGTTAGTTAGTTAGATAAGATCGTCTAGTTTAATCAGTTAGCTAGTTTGTTAGCCAGCAGGCGATATAAGGCCAGGCAGTTCACGTTGATGTGTTAAGCAAGAAGAAACCTAAAGAGCAGTCAGAGCCTCCGCGAGGAGGGCAACGAGCCGGTTTTCCTCTTGCTATTCCGTGTGTCCCTAGCCAATCCATAACAGCTATGAAAATTAGTCTTAGCTCCTACAGAGTAGCGTTTACAATGTAAGACTGAATCTCAGTAATAACACCATCTATTTGCTACTACTAGCAGTAGCTTAGCATAAAGCAGAACAAATACAGATTCAAATGGCTTAGGGGAGAAGGGAAGCAAAATACCAAGATCTTGACATATCACCCAAAAGAAGAGTATACCTATTCAGATTCCTTTTCCTGTCCTGTCGCTCGCGAGCTTGAAGTTTCTTCACAATCTTTGACTTCAGTTGAAGGCAGCATTGCTTAAGAGCTAACTGAAGGTGCAAGATGATCGTGATTATGTGATGATGTACAGTGAGTTATATGAGGAAAAGTTTAATGTACCTTAACAGCAGATGATATTTCTGTTATGTCATCACCAATGTACTCTTTTCCAGTTCCTTTGAAAGGTATCTTTGTACTTACAATGCTCACAAAGACACCAATCTTATCTTGCTGCTGATTAATTTTGTAGCTGCTCCAACTAAAAAAAAAAAAAAAAGTGGCAAAAAGTGTAAGAATGATATGCTATTTGAAATAAAGCTGCAGGTCCTAGCAAAAGAAATCTCACTTGATTCTTTTTAGAGCAGTTCTTGTGATGACATCTGCACCTTGTTCAAAAAGAAGAGGTATTCTGTTTGCAAATCTAAAAATATTTATTCCCTGAATAAAACAGATATAACTATATAAGCTTTTCAATCCTCAGCTAAAGAATACCTTGTTAGTGAGTTAAATGCAGAAAATGAAAAAAGAAATTCCACTGAACTGGAGTTCAATGTGTAGTTTTCACTTAATGATGTTAACTCATGTGGTCAAATATTTATACACAAAAATACAAAGTGGTGCACTTGGTGAATAAAAAAGGTGCATGTTGCTACTAGCGTATGATTTGGGCCACCAAGAAGATTGTTTGATGCACACGAGACCCTTTTAGGAGTTTGATTCAGTGTAATATCAGACTGAATAAACTATTTTTAGAAATTTAACATAGAAATTTTAGCATCAAAGACTCATGATTTTGACCCTTGTAATAACTTCCATCACATAAGGTCAGACTGAAAACTGCTCGAAATAAAGCAGAACAAAAGAAAATTCTTCAAGATTTTTCAAAGAAATTAAATAGAAGCAAAAAATGTTTCCAACAGAAATAAATACTGCAGTGATTCATTACATGTTTAACATCCTTTCCACCAATGCTTATTCCAGCTTCAACAATAAATGGATGTCCTTCAAACACCTGAGCGCTAAACATAGAATAACATTGTGTTATTTTTTTATATTTTTTTGAGGAATAACATTGTGTTATTAGGATGCTCAGATTATGTAAAACTGAAACGAACTCTAAACTCTATTCCTATTAAATGTCATACCTGCTTGCATGTGTTGCAACCATATCAGGGTGCAGCTCTTTAATGATCCCCAAGCGTAAGTTATATTCACCTGCAGGGCTAAGACACTATAGAATTGGTTGATCTCTATATACTGATTAATTTAAAATTAAAGATGAAATAGCTTATGAAAAATGAACATAAATCTAAGTGAAAAGGGATCTATACATTGCCGCTGGGATCATCGAACTTAGCTTGCCGAAATAATTGGTGTATTCGTACTAACTGCTGCGATGTGAGGCTCTTAACTGCCATTTTTGGACTAAAATCAGGACCCATCTCTCCTGTCCAAATGAATATATGTGACAAGTAAAAATCGAATCGATAACATGAATAATAAAGAGTAGAAAGAAAGCAATACAAAAGCACATCATGATATTACAACTACATTTTCAGCACAATAAGCAGGTTTTACATAGGTTTCAAATTATGACCCTCCTAAAGCAAGATAAGAATGTATTGCCTACTTCGATCCACAAGATACTATTCTAGTAAATTAAACTGAAGTACTCCATGTTTGTCAATAAAAATATATAGTAATCATTAATTTAGCTACTTTTCAAACTAGCCACCTATCCACATTGCATATTTTATAACTCACCTATTAAACGTTCCGCATGAGGCTTGCTTATGTTAACAAATTCATGTTGTAGAAATTGCAAAAGGTTTTGCTTCGTGGTCTCCGAGATTAAGCGCTTTATAAGCAATAAATCAACAGCTGATGGGTGATGCTTTGTCTGAACCGGAACAGGTGGCATAACGTCTGTTCTCCGTGCAAACCTTATTGTTAAATTTTTTCTGCAATAACCAAAAAGTTCTTAGGAAAAGGAAAAAAAAAGATTTTCAATTTATTGCAACATGATAAGAATCTTAGGTTAATTGTCAATTTAGTGCAGCATAAAAAGAACTGTAGATAAAATCCATACTCTGCTGCATCTGACAGAAACCTAAATAGAAATTGTGCATATGGTGTAATGACAGCCATCTGTCGCATATAATGGAGGATCCTTGACTGCAAAGAGATAAGAGAATTAAATTAGCCGGATCACATCATTCCATGTCTTAAAGTTTCAAAAATGCAGTACTCACACGATGAGTTGTCCAATTCCCCTCAATTACAACTTGAAGCTCTGCCCCATGCCAGTGATCCTTGTTCGCCTTTTTCTCATGTAAATGAACATGAGGGACATTCCTGAGAAGTGGAATGCACCAAAATCAGTTATTTGCAGAAGTTATTGAATTGACATATATGACCATAAATAGCAATACCCAGTCGTTTTATGTGTTGAATGGACAAAAGAACCACCAAATTATACTTACTTATGAATATCTATATCGAGGCGACAGAATGAAATGTAATTTTGGCCTTTCATTGCTGATTTAATGTCAATAGGAAGTCCAGTACTCATCTTTGACCATATAAGTGCCTGTTTCAGTGCACATAAAGATGCAGAAATTCAGCACTATAAGTTGCTAAACCCAGAAATAGCAGCAAATGCGGCGTTCAAATGCAGATCACATGTTCATTCATTTTTTCAGATCTATCCACACTTCTACAAAGGCCAAACATGGCAACACTGCGACACATTGGAAG